AAACTTTTTCTAGAGATCAATTACCCTAACACCAAAATGATATTTTTGCACTCGACGCGCGTTTCGCTAACAAGGTTAGCATCTTCAGGAGAAGCAAATTGATACGTAATCTAAAGACAAGGGTTAGCTGTTTATATACCTGAAGTTTTTTGGTCCGATGTGGACTTTGTTTGTTAAATGATGATTATCCTAATTGATTTTTCGGTAATTAACTAGTGGAACCACTACCTGCAAATTAATTTGTCCGCCTTTTAATCTATTGTTGACAAATTAATTTGCATGTAGTGTAGCTCAAATAGCTCAAAATCTGTACGTGATATACAATTTCAATTTTTGATGTTGAAATCGCAGTCAGGAAGCTTCAAACTCTCATGTATAGCCATTATAATATTAGCCGCAATTTTTTTTTTCTTATCTGTTATCTAGTGTAATTGTATATGATTAGTAGTAGTTGAGTTTTCGTCACTATGGAAAAAATAGTGTACGATGCTTGTTAATTTTGGTATAAAATATAAAAATATATTATTTACTATTCATTTTTTTTCACCATTGTTATAGTTATATTGGTTTTTCTTGTTTTTATTACAAATCACATTTGTGGGTAGGATTTTATTGGAAGATTCTCACAGACAAAGTATGTTAAGCTTTTTTCTCGGATTCCGCTCTGTGTTCTGTGTTTTTCATTCTCATAAGGATCCTTTTTAGAAAGTTTCGGCAGAATCTTATTTGTCATCTGCTGGATATGTCCAAAGTTTTACAACTAGACTAATTTATCCAAAGTCTGTGGTTTAATTTGTAGGGTTGCTGCCACTACCTGTGTTTGCTCGACTACGTCTTTCGGCCCTACTTCTCCTGCCTCTTTAATTCTGCCTGTATCGTCATGTGCTAAGTTTTACTTCTGAGGTTGAGCGGTCTGTTTGCTTTTGTGAAGAGACGAAACGGATCTCCATGTTGGAAAATGTAAACCTTCACTTCCAGAAATAACTATATGAAGACTATTTTCCGGGTTTTTCGGCGGTGGTCTGCAGGATTTCATGCCTGATGTTTCGTCTACTGCTGCGAAGGCGATATCGCCTTTCGAAGGCGATATAGTAACGGTAGTAGTAGTCGTCGTGTAATATTTTGCCTGCGTAGGCGAAATTTTTTCTGAAACAGTTTCGGAAGGATCTTGAGTATCCCCTCGGGTACTCCTGACAACCAAGAAGAAATGGGCTTTCCAGGGATTTCAGATTTTCCTGGTTTCACGAAATTTCTCTAGTGGTCCCTGCTCCACTAGTAGAGGGGGCGAATAGAGTTCCAGCATTGGAATGAATGTTAGTACATAGGATAGTAGAGTAGTGGCTACTATAGGCTCATGCTCCTTCTGAGACGGGTCCTGATCTGCTTCAAGTCCGATGTTTATAGGCTAGTTTGATTTACCAAACGCTCATCAATGCGTTGGTTTAAAATTCTTAACATGCACGCGTTGTACTTTCCTGCTAGAGTGTAGTTTCAGCTTGACTACAACTGGAAATACGACCTTAAAAACTTCATGAGATCCGGTGATTTTCGGTGCGAGCATTAAGTTGTAACTCTGAACTGCAGAAGACAACGGGAACTCTCTTTGAATTCGCTGTGCCAGTTTTGTCTCAACTTCATTTTGATAATTCGAGTTGAAGGTCCTTCATCTGAAATTTGTACATCCAGACCACAAGATGTTTTTTTTTCAAGTTTGTCATTGTGACTTCACCTTTTTCTTCCATGTACATTTTTATCGAAATCTCCTCTGTGCCTTATCCACGATCCACTCAAATCTGTAACGTCACTTGAACTGCTCTGGCGCCAATTGTAACGTGGTTTTCCTTCACGTTGCTTTTCTTCATTCAGGTAGCTCGATTGGAGAAAATGTATTGACGTCTCGATAAATAGAAAGGTACGTCAGGTGGTACAAAATGAAACTTTATTCTGAGAACTATTAATGGAGAAATCAAAAATGGTGAACTCTATTTTAGTCGAATTCCGGAAAGAAAGAGAAGAGTAGTTGGATTTGTCAGTTCTCAGAACGAAGATTGGCTCGATGTAGACTTGGCCAGCTTCAAAATCAGAATGATTTTCCAGGACAGTTGAACCAACCCCCGTGTGGTTCTGCACGCCCTTCACGGGGCCTTAGGCTCAACTACTTCGAAGGCACCTGCAAATAGGTGCAGTCGCCAACCCAGAGGGTAGCCGGTTCAATTTAGAGCCACATTGGTACTGGAGCCACTAGAAGACACCTTAGTCGAGCTCAACATGCTGGAGACGTAGCTGCAGCCCATGGTTATCGTGTAGTATCTTCAGCAGGTCAATACTCTTTCATGTATCGTGCTCAGCATGCTAAAGATAAAAGACTGTTGTCCCTGTTGAAGGTTTTCAACAGTACCTATATGTCAACTGTTGAAGGTTTACAACAATACCTATATGTGTGAGGAAAAGTAAAACTACAAATAAATATGAAACCTCAAAATCAACACGGAAGACCATGAACTGCGAAAATCATCAGGAATAGAGGAGAAAATAATTCCTAATGTTGCGGAGCTGATTGAGTTTGGCATGTATTTCACCTTGCCTGCTCTTAGTCTGCAGCTTCCGGGTAAAGGGGATGCATCCGCCCAATCAGCAGCGAATAGTGGACTATAAGGGGTTGATTGCTTTATGGGTATAAAGGTGTACACGAAAATCGGCACTTTGAATTCTGAATACTCGATAGCACCACCGAGTCGTACGCTTTACATCCGTACTGTCACTGTCAACCTCAAACATTCTCTTCGTCTTTCGCGAAGAAGAACAATTTTTTGGCTAGTCCCCTTGACGATATGCGGGAGGAAATAAACATATACGGGGTGATGCCAAATCCGAATTATATTCTGACATATGCTCATAATTAAAACTAAATATAGTGGGGTTACCCGAGAACTTAACACCTAATATATAATTCTTAATATGTAGAATGAAAAGTAAGCAGAAGGCAATGCGGAAATTTTCGAGAGATTCAATGGCCACTTTGTTGAAAATGGTCCAAAACAGTCATGTATCTTCATTAGTTTTGAGAAGAAATAAAAAATGAGTCAACCATATTCAATTTGTATGAGGCTGGTAACTTACGATATGAACTGATAATTTGAGTACAAAAAATGCCCCTGGAATATAATTAAATCACAAAGAAAGTTGAATCAAACTTATCACCGCTGCTTCAGAAATACTGAATATTCCAGTTAGCACTAGTAGCATACACCTATGATGTAATAACACTTCCTAAATACAAATTATGAAATAACAAAACAACAACAAAAATTAATTGGCGCTCCGGGGCGACTTCATTGATTTCAGTGGCGTATTTACATTTTCAGCTGCAGGAAAACCCGGAAAAACCTGCAGCACCACATCATCTGACGAGCTTGATCTGCTAATGTCCTCTCTCTCATAAAAAAACTGTAGGGGGTGTCCAGAGGCTCCAATACATTCAATAGGTCAATAGTCGTGACACGACTATCGTCAAAGTTAAACTACTCCGTTTCGTCTTTGACCAAGGCGTAATAATGACCAAATTCAACGCCAGAATCACACCGAACAATGACTGCATGAATATTATAATAGTGATCTGCTAGATTGAAGTGTTCATCTATTTCGAACCTTCGTAAGAGTTTGGTGCTTCCGTCAGAGGTTGAGTCATGTTTGAAGATCATCAGTATTAGTATTAAAATCACTGGTGCCCTAACTATACTTGTTTCTTATGACAGTCAGTTAGTTTGGCACATGTTTGGCAATACAGTCGATCATCACCTGTTAAAAGTTGAATTTTCAGATGATTCAACAATAAGCTTTGCACGGACTGGTTATTAGTCATATTAGGAAACGCTAGTTGAAATTCCAGATATTCACATTCGTTTCTGCTACCTCTTGAACATTTACTACAAAGTAAACAAGTGAGAATTTTTCCAGCAAAAAAGATTTACAAACACAAGAGGAGATACACTGTACGAAATCATTCAATCCAGAGCGGTCAAGAGTATTGATTCTACTATTGTTTTGCTCATGAAGAGTATTCAACAAGACTCCAAGAATTTGAAACAATCCTTTTGGTGTTCTAACAAAATCTAGTGGACTTCAAAGACTCCAGGAAATCGGTTGGAGGGAAGGATAATATATTCCTACGAATCTGCAGCTGTATGAACAGGTGTTTGAATTTGGTTAATAAGTAGGGAACATTTTCGTTCTCGTTCATCGTTGAAACTACGTTTTTGAAATTCTTGGTCATGAACAATACCTAAAAAATTCTATTCATGTAGCAAGTGTTTTCCAAATTTCACTTGCTATCGTTCAACCCGTGTAAGGAATCAAACGTTAAAAGGTAATACTCCGTTAATCCTTAGCTCGCACAAGTTTCGAATTTTGAGGGTTGTTATTCGTAGGGGTGCGACAGCTGGTTGACGGAAAAACAGATTTCAAAACAGATTATGTGTACACCAATTTCTGAGTAAGCAAATCCATTTTAGCAATCTACGGAGCAGTAGAGCAATCTACAATTTATTTTCAAACTATTTGAAATACATTTATTCTTCAATTCTTTATTATTATTATTATTATGAGCAATCTACAATTTATTTTCAAACTATTTGAAATACATTTATTCTTCAATTCTATATCAATATGGCTTTTGGAGATTGAGCTATAAAGAATTTTCCATTTCGGACACTATTTCTAGTATTCATTTGATATTAGACGAGCGTAGGAAACATAAACTTTTGTCACTAGATCTTTGTAAAGCTTTAGACTATGAAATATCTAAAACAAGTTACTTTATCAAAATTATTGATTGCTCCTGATACTTTTGAAGTCGTATCTCAAACTGATTTAATGAATATGAGCTTATATCATAAATTCATTTACAAGCTTCAATTTGCTGAAATATGAATCCCTACATGTTTTTTTCTCCATGGAATAAATCATTTTGGAAACGATGTTGATAGTAATGAGCAGGTAAATATCATGTTCACGAGTTTATTTTGTCAATTTTTTCATTCCAATCCAAATACCATCTTTAGCAAGCAAATTGAAACTCTTCTCAGATGTTTCCACATATAGCGGTGTTTTCTTTAACGGTTGTAGTTCGAAATGTGACAGAAGATGGAAAAATATCACTTTTGTTTCAAGAAGAGCAAATCTTGATCCTATACAGTTTCTTGGTCCAACTCCAAATGGAATAAAAGAGTATGGGCGGATTTTCGCTTTATTTTCTTCGTTGAATCTTTCAGGATCGAAACATTCTGGTTCTGGATGATATTTAGGATCTCGGTGTATAGCAAAGATTGAGAAGATATGTAGGAGTTTTTTTCCAAATGCACGGGATCCTCTCCTGGATTTGCTGGGTTTATAGTATAAGGTGCTGTACACATTCTATCAGTTATCACTGAAGGTGGCAATTTCCTCAATGTTTCTGAAAACAGAAATGGTTGTCACTCAAGTGATTTGATAAATGACAAAGCTAATCTATTCCAAAACAGATGATAATATATTTGTTTGAAGGTGATCGACAATGTTTCATGATGAATTTTATTAGTTCCATTATCCATTCCATTATACAATGATTTGAAATCCCTGAAAGAACTGATAAAAAGAAGAATTAAAAATGATAAGAATAACAATTATATCAAGTAAAAGAAATCTGTAGTAAAATAATAGTGAAATAAAATACAGATAAAAAAGTACGACTGAACAAAAGATAGATATGAAAAGTTAAGAGATTCCAAACCAAGTTACTTCACGATGCGACGTTTCGATTGTTAGTATTCACAATCGTCTTCGGGTGAAGACTGGACACCGAGAGATAACTATTTATGGGTCATTCGAGTACTGTTCTCTGGGAACAGAAGATCGAAGAGGTTCTTAAGAAGGCACAATACACGGAGATCGTACACGGAGAAGTACGTTCCTCTCACATCGATCATCAGTTCCAGAGATTCGGCTACTCAAAACTTGTCTAGATTTTCACTCTCCATGATACATACATTATAAGGAAAACATCGTCGTTTGTGAAGAATTCAAGATATTTTGACGAACTACTAGGTGCAATTGAATTCACTCAGCAAGACCAACTAAACAGTTTCGACATGGAAAGCCTTATACCAACGTTTCGGTCAAAGAAGCACTCCATATCATACAGAGGAAGCTATCCGAAAACGAAGACCTAGAAGATGGAACGAATTTACCAACTATAGAAGTAATCAGGGAATTACTAGGATGATTTGTACGAAACTGTTATTTTCAACTGAAGGACGAATTTTTTACACAAGATGAGGGACTACCAATGGGATCGCCACTTCCACCAGTCATAGCCAACATATATCTATGGAGTGGTGGAACTCTGGCCATTGAAGAAGCCAACAAGAAACCTCGTGTCTAGTTGAGATACGTTGACGACACCTTCATGATATGGAACCATGGGAATACTGAACTAGACGCTTTCCTGAAACACATCAACAGAGTAAAACCTTCCATTACTTTCACAATCGAGAAAAAAGTCCACAACGAATTGCCATTCATAGATGTATTGGTGAATTGAAGAGGACCGACACTGAAAGGAAAACTTCTGTATACCGAAAACCAACTCACACGGGACAGTATCTGAATCATGAACCCAACCCAATCGACTGAAAAAGGAATCATCAAGACTCTATCAGACCGTACTTTCGGGCTTTGTAATACGAAGGAAGGTCTTGAGATGAAACTAGACATCATCAAAAATGATCTTCAACGAAATGGCTACTCCAAAGCGATGATGGAACAGACTTTGGTTGAAAGAGAGCAGGAACCTCGCAAGGAAGAGGAGCCGTCACAACCAGTGCTTGCACTTCCCTACATCAGAGGATTACCGGAAAGGATAAGAAGAATTGGTTCCAAGTACAACATAGGAACATAATCTGTAGCAGCCTCACGGAAACCAAGCCACCAAACGTGGACTGTGATTCCAAGAATTGCATTTACCGGATACCCTGTGAGTGCGGAAAATCCTATACCTATCTGTGAAACTAAGAAGCTATTGAATGTTTGCATTGCCGAGCACAAGAAACATACACAGCGTGGGAAAACCAGCAAATCAGGAATAGCAGAGCATGTTTGGACCCACCAAAATAACATCAAGTAGTCCCAAGCTGAGATCATACACAAGGAGGAAAATTGGTTCACGAGAAAATTCAAAGAAGCCGCATACATGTTGTCCAACAATATATTCAGCCAAGCTAGCCTAGAGATACGCAATATATGGAAACCTATAATCAAGCGAAAAATGGCAAACTCCCGCCAAACGGTCATCTCCCACTTAACCGGCGAAGCAGAAAAAGGGAAGCGGAGATAAGTGAAAGTACTTCAATGACCTATAATCAGTTATCTCTCGGAGGAATAAGTACAGTCATCATCCGAAGACGATTGTGGATACTAACTATTGAATCGTCGTGAAGTAACTTGGTTTTTTTTTTGTTCAATTGTTTTATTTTATTTTACTATTATTTAATTTAATATAATTGTTATTTTCAGCTATATATTTTTAATTCTTTTTTTTTATTAATTCTTTCAGAGATTTCAAATCATTTTATATAATATAAGACATTGGAAGTCCGAACTAATGAAATATAAAAAACAGCATTATTATTACGATATGCGTTTCATTCACAGATATGGATATTTCGATAAGATATTCAGAATTTTCCAAATTCAGATTCTTGAGTTTATGTTATCGTTTCTATTTTTTGCAAATGTCCAGGAATCAATTAAATTTGATGCACTTGGTACCTAATTCTTGATTGATTTAAAGGATAATTCTCTTCCAATAACAATAGGTTACCAACGTCGTGTACTCCTGTGATTGATATGGGATTTATTAGGCTTTCCTCAGTTCATTGTTTATTTGTGATTGATCGTGATGACTTCAAATTATTACCTACCGTGATTGTTCGCTAATGACTGTACCATATGTGGGCCCAATGTTAAATATTCAAAAGAAAAAGACGATTCGGAAAGGTTAAATAATTGAATGTATTCATTTCGAAAGTAGTGAATTTTCATGTCACATATGTGACATGACGTATATCACCCATATTTGGAATAATGCAATCGAGAAAGATGGAGAATCAAGAGCTAAGAGCTGTCGCGCTCAATATTTCTGAGGCCTTTGACCTGGTGTAGCATGAGGGTTTGCTGGCCAAACTTTGATGCTATGGCTTGTTGGATCATTTTTGTGTATGGCTCTTCAGCTTCCTGAAAGAACGTTCCCTGCAAGTGGCCGTCGAAGGATATCTCTCGAATACTTCCACCATCAACGCTGGTGTTTCCCAGGGATTCATATTGTCTCCAACCCCTTTTTTATTATATATCAGCGACTTATTGGAGAAAAACTGAAAATCCAATATATTGCTTTGCTGACGACAGCACACTTGTATCGTCATTCCATTTGAATTCCAGGACATCGGCTACGGAGGCACATATCTTCACCGGCAGCAGAAGGTTGCATATCTCAATGAGGATCTAGAAGTGATTTCGACTTGGGGTGAAAGTAACTAGTTTCAATTCAATTCCGCAAAAACCCAGACATCGGTTTTCTCCAAGAATATAAATATCTTCGAACCGAATACATTAATGTCACGTCAGACAATTCCGCTTTTTGCATTAATAAGTTTGTTGGGAGTTAAAATGGACACCAATATGTCTTGGCACAATCATGTCGCTGGAATTGCAAAGGCTGCTTCCCAAAAGTTTGAAACTCTGTTCCGAACCAGAAAACTGTACACACCTCAGCAACTTTTGATGCTTTATAATACTCATATCGAACTTTCTTTGGAGTATTGTTCTCATTCCATCTCACTCCATGTTCTGGATTCCATCCAGAAAAGAGCCATCCGCTCGATTGGAGACGCGAGTTCAGATCAAAGGGTTCAAGAACCCTTTGATCTGAAGAACTGCGTTTATGTGAAATTAACTTCCTGAGAACGTTTTTCCGAATGGATTGAATCTCCAGCTATATCGCTACTTTTGCACAGGCACCGCTCTGAGAGCGCCTTAAGGATTTTCCAGTATAGCTCTTGATTTGTCCTTGAAGAAGTGGTCTTACGAAAACAATAATTTTCAACACAAGGAAAAGAAGAGACCAGCCCTTGACGAAAGATAATCTGAAATTGTTGAGATACAAGGCTTCGATCAGGTAAAAAAACTGCGGCTGCTTTGGGGATATTACAAAACCGAGTTTCATATCATCAGCAGATAAAGGGCATATTGAATTTAGATGAATCTTCCTGAAGAATATAACAATTTTCAACCCAGCCAATCAAGAGACATTCGTTCCTCCAATCTCGATGCTCTGGATTTTTATGATAAAAGTAAGATCAACGACTCGGAACAGGTCAGCTCGGAAGAAACCACTCAATACAAAGTACTACGATTAAAAAAAAACATAAAACACAAGCCTCCGCTTATGATAATTGAAGCAGCCAGATCATTATACTTTGTTGTCCATTTATCATACCCTTTTTGACTGATATTTTCAAAGCATGTATATGCGAAAGTATATGATGGAGTTGACCGATACTTGTATATAAAAATCTATAACTGTATTGTGAGATTTTCACTAAACAGTTTCACAGAAACGCCACACGTGTTTCACCATACAATGACTTCTCCAGGCGTGTCTTCACTGACTAAATTCTATATATCAATGTATGTAAAATTTTGTTAGTGAAGACATGCCCGAAGAAGCCATTGTATGACGAAACACGTGTTTCGTTTTTGTAAAACTGTTTGGTGAAAACCTCACAATGAAGTGTTTTTTGAATATGCGAAAGTGATTTCCCTGTTGCCTGAATATATATTTTGTTCAACCTTAGAGATAGAACTTCACATGAACTGAAAGTAATTGATTTTGTTTGAAGGTGGGTAACAATGTTTCATGGTATATTTCATTAATTCAAACTTCCATTGTCTAATATGGTATAACATGATTTGAAATCCCTGAAAGACTCGATAAAATTGAAAAGAAGTACTTCAAATCATACAGTGAAAGCTATCCAAAGGTGGGAACCTGAAAGATAGAACGAACTTACTGATCTGTTTAAATCTGTTTTTCCGTTAATCAGCTGCCGACCCCATACGAACGACAACTCTCAGAAGTTGAGAAACTTGTGCGACCTTATTACTGATACGAGTAATCATAGAATTACTAGGATGATGTGTACGAAACTGCTATTTCCAAGTAAAGGACGAATTTTCACACAAGATGGGAGACTGCCAATAGGATCGCCACTTTCACCGGTTATAGCCAACATATATATGGTGTTGTTTGAAACTCTGGCTATTGAAGAAGCCCACAAGAAGCCCCGAGTCTGGTTGAGATACGTTGACGACACCTTCATGATATGAAACCATGAGAATAAAGAAATAGAACACCTTTTTGAAGAACATCAACAATGTAAGACCTTCCATCACTTCAACATTGAAGAAAGAAGTGCACAACGAATTGTCATTTTTTGCGAATTGGTGAAGAGGACCGACACTAGATGGGAAACATATGTATTCTGAAAACCCACTCACACGGGACAGAATCTGAACCAGGAATTCAACCACCACCAATAGACTAAGAGAGGATTGGTCAAGACTCTAGTAGACAGTGCTTTCGAACTCTGTAATACAAGGGAAGGTCTCGAGAAGGAAATAGGCATCATCAAAAAGGGCATTCAACGAAATGATTACTTCAAAGTGATAATGAAACAGACTTTGGCTAGAAGACAGCAAGAGCCTCACAAGGAAGAGAAGCCGTCATAACCAGAACTTTTACTTCCTTACAACATAGGATTTTCGGAAATGATGAGAAGAATTATGTTCATGTATAACATCAAAACCTGCTTCAGATCTGGAAACACTATCCGTAGCAGTCTCACGAAAACTAGACCACCAAACGCGGACTGCGATTCCAAGAATTGCATTTACCGGATACCCTGCGAGTGCGGAGAATCATACATCGGTGAAACCAAGAGGCCATTGAAAGTTCGCATTGCCGAGCACAGGAAACACACACAGCGAGGAGAAACCAGCAAATCCGAAATAGCAGAGCATGTTTAGAATTGCATTTACCGGATACCCTGCGAGTGCGGAGAATCATACATCGGTGAAACTAAGAGGCCATTGAAAGGTCGCATTGCCGAGCACAGGAAACACATACAGCGAGGAGAAATCAGCAAATCCGAAATAGCAGAGCATGTTTAGACTCATCAACATAAAATCAAATGGGCTCAAGCTGAAATCATCCACAAGGATGAACAATGGTTTAGGAGATAATTCAAAGAAGCCACATATATGTTGTTCAACAATGCGTTTAGCCAAGCTAGCGTAGAGATACGTAACATATGAAAACCTCTAATCAAGCGGAACACGACCATCTCCCGCCAAACGATCAGCTTCCGCTAAAAACCAGTGAAGCGGAAAAAGGGAAAAGGTGATAGATGAAAGCAGTCTAATGAACTGTAAGTAGTCAGATCTCGAAGGAATAAGTCCAGTTATCAACCGAAGATGATTGTGGATACTAACAATTGAAACGTCGTGAAGTAACTTAGTTTGGAAACTTTTTAATTTTTTGCTGATAGTTACATTTTTTTGTTTCTTTTGTTGTTGGTTGTATGTTATTTCAGTTTTTTGCCTAACAATATTGTTTTTTCGGCTAATCTTTTTAATTTTTTACAGATTTTTTCAGGGATTTCAAATCATTTTATGTAATATTAGACAATGGAAGTCCGAACTGATGAAATGCATTCTGATAATTATAGTGATTTTTCAATTAACGAACAAATAGACATTAGAAATGTTCGAATTTTCTTTCTCTAACAAAATTGTTTCTTACAATTATTTACTGAATATCCACGATTTTTCTTTGTTTATGAGTACCTATACAAAACAGAAACAAAAAAATGTACTCACTTATCAATGATGAACAATGGTGAATAAAATGTTTTATTTTTATTGAAATTCATCAACGAACTATAATATTCATCAATCATTCATTCGAGTTATTCGTATTCACTCTATTATGGCTCGGTTAACTGACCTAACACTACTACTTTTGTTGGGCTGATATTATTTCGAATTGGATTTTTATTATTACTCCATTTGGAGTATTCTGTATATGAGGATGTTTAAAAAATAACTACTTCTCACCTGATACAACCATATCCATGTATTTCTTTTTCACAAGAACTTCGTAGGTAAGCTTTCCTCTGCAATCAGATGTGGTTTTTTTGATCTCATTTCTGAGTCTAGTTTGAACATCGGCGTTAACAGCCAACTCATAAGACATAAAGCACATTAGTGTAGAAACGGAATCAAAACCGGCAAAAAAGAAAATCAAAATTTTCATAAGGGTAGATTCGTTTTATAGGTCGTTAGTTTTGTAATTGAATAGAACTGGCAGCTACTTGATGAAAATCCATATTAAAACTAATTACAGTTTATTGTATTATTTTCACTATAATCATACAATATCATACAATAAACTGTATCTAATAATTAGTTTCTTTTCGTTAGTTTTGTGTTGGTGTGAAATAGGAAATACTTGGGAGTTCTCAGAAACGGTTCCAGTTTCGATAATTGTTTAATTTTTTTTTGTTCATCAAGTGGAAATATAATAATTTATATTGCTCATATCGTTATAAGGAATACAGCTTCATGTGAGTTTTGACAACAATATTTTCAATAGTAATCAATATAAAAACAGCACGTCAGACGTGTTTATGAAAACTAAAGTATCCACATGGTGGATATAATTAGGATGTGTTGAAATCCCCCAAAAGTCAAAAATTGAGTGAACAACGGATTACTTTACAACGTACGATTCCTACCACGAGAATTCGTTGAAATCTACTTTTTCGTTAATCAGCTGTTGTTCCCGTATCTCAAAAGTCGAAACTGGTACAAACTAAGGAATAACGAAATAATAAAGTGCCCAATTTTTACATACGATTTTTGCAGTGAAAGTAGAGTTGAGATGTTACATCGTACACACATCATCTGAAATACTAATCATCACAACTCATTGTACGTATTGAAAAAAAAATGTCTAGAAAATAAGAGTTTACCATCGAACTCTAGATTCATTGATGTGAACTAGAAAGTGAGCCCTTTCTATACCTACATGGAGTTTTCCATTACAATTTCTGATACATTGATATATAACCACACCTACAAGGAAATCTATCATCTTTTGAAGAAGAAAAGACACGCATTTCCCGCCCAAGCTAAAAATAAAAGTATGACATACTGCAATCGACAATGAAATACCAATCAGAGCAAATGACGTCACGCCCCAGTAACTCTGGCGGTATTTATAAAATACTAGTACTATGTAGCTATGTCGCTGCTGTTCCAATGCTTTGACAGAATCAGAATCAACGAACTTAGGCGTGCGCAGCGTTATAGAACAGTGCTTTCAAAAAATTGTTCTACAGCGCCATCTAGTGGCGAGTTACAGAAAAATTGATAGCCTAAATACCTTCTCTATGAAAAATTATTTATACATGTCAAGTTTCATCACGATCGGTTGAGCGATGTAAAAGTTTATCACTTACCAACCAACCAACCAACAATCATCCATTTTCATATAGTTTCGTCACAGGCCATTTTGAATAAATAGTTGTGATATTTTTGTATCAACTCAAAACTTCACGTTTCCAACTTCAAAATTGACGAAATTCAATACAATCTTTGAACCCCTATTCTCATCCTTGTATGTGAAAATTCCTAATTCCCTTTTTTCGTAATTATTTACGCAATACAAAGAACCCACCTGCATAATTCGAAATTCTAGGTTCAGTAGTTTCGGTCGTACGTTAATATACGAGCGGGCAACAGCCAGTAATGGTTGTGAAAAGGTTTTGGAGAAACAAATTAGAAAAATGAAATTCTTCCAATGTGTTTATAAAACAGCTATAAATAGGAAATTGGCACCGTTTTATAAAATCTAATAGTATTCAATAATACTTTGTAAGGCCTTTTAGAAACACTACAAAACAGTTTTTAAAAAAATTTCGGCAGTTACTATAAAATTTTTCTAACTCTCTTAAACGGTAGTTTCGTGAAGAATCTAATGAAATGATTGAAATCCAATTTTATAAGTATTTTTTCGTAATTCCAAATGAGTTTTATAAAATATAATGTAGCCTCAAACGATAACAATAAGATAAAAAAGTTTTCAACATGTTTTCTTAAAGGAGCTAGAAATAATTTTGTATTGGACACTAGGAAAATATAATGTCACCTAAGAAATAGAAAGGTTCGGGCCATTTTAATAATTCCACTTTTGTTATCATAAAACTGGTAAAGACTTTGTTTGTGATATTTTAACTGCGAATGAAATTTTATTGACAAATATATAGCCTATAATTAGTGAAATTTAAACGCGCCACTCTTTTATAAAAAAAAATTTAAGAAATCATCAATTATACAATAATGCACTCTGTTGATATACTAATTTTCCAGTCGCAAATTAACTCAGTTTGTTCTGAATAATATAATCTTATGATATCTATGTACTTTTCATCTGTAAATATCAACATCTGCAATATTTCATATTATCAACTCTTTTAATGTCAGTATTCCGAGTTGCTATCATTTTAAAATAGCGTCGTTCTATAAAATTTGTTGGTATTAATAGCAGGAGTTTTAACGTATTTTAGCTTCTACAACAATAATTATAATAATAATAATAATGTTCTTTATTGGGTGAAATAGAATATAACATCCAAGAGGCGAAGTTCAAAACTGCAGTGTAAAACACTTCAGGTTTGTTCTGTTAAGAAACACTCAGTTCTAGATGGCATTGCGGCAGAGTCGGACAACTTTTGAAGCTGTAGTTTTCTATAAAAATGAAGATAGGATTTCTCACGTATTTTATGGATGAATATTACCTGTCAGGATATTTTGACTAAGAAAATTGTATCATCGATTATAAAGGCTGAATTCCAAAGGAGCTTTAAGCCAGTGATTTGAGTATATTTAAACATGGTGCTCTACTCAAATCGACGGATCATTAAAATAACCTTTTCAGGTTTCAAGCAAGAACAAATTGAAGCACTAGTTTACGTGGGTCTTCGGCTGAAACGAACCACTTGTCTTAATTTTTTTTCCAGTGACCTATTTTAGATGACGTTATTAGGTAAATGGGTATTTCTCATCAAATTGCGAAATTTGATTCCCGAGTCATTGGTTCCGAATCATATGCATTAACAACGCAAGTCTTTTTTTTATTCAATTCATGCTGTCTAATACTACTTTTGTTCAAAAAGAGAACATTGCCACTTGAAAAAAAAAAGATATGGCCACTTTGTTACAATGAAAGTCATTCCCTCACCTTGTCCCTTAGTACAAAAATATTACTAAAATGCCTGTTCAACTAAAATAAATCAAAATTTCCTATTAATGAAGTATCGCAAATGAATTAGAGAGATGTGCGTTATTCTATGTCAAAACTGTCATTTTACAACGACGGATTTATAAAAAAGATAATTCGATTTTAAATATGTCCCGCCAAATGAAATCATTTCCTCACCATATAACGAATATTCGATTTCTGAACGTATCAAACGATATTTTTATACATAACCCTATGAAATTAGTACCTGGCAACACTTTCAAATGTTTCAAAATGGCGATTACGTTAAAAATAGTTAAGAGTTACATTTATGACGATCATTACCTCACGTTACATATATATTAGGTATTTTAGTATATATGTATATTATTTGTTGTTTTTATGCGTTTTTGGGAGTAATATGCATATTCGAAATGTAAACAACAAATTGAGGTTATGTAGCGGTATTCTTGTAGCTTTAGTTAAAATTCGTCATTCCCTCATGGTCATTTCCTCACTACATTTGGGAGTGAGGAAAGGACGGTGGGATGAGGGAATGATTCATAAAGTATTCTATATTTCTTTTAGATTTTTTATTTATTTCTAGCAACTGGTATTATATGGTATTTAATTAAAACCAGGTACAAGTATATGGTAGCAAAATGACACGGTCAATGNAGAGCAGTAACAAAGTTCAATAAACTTTTAATGAACATTTGGTTGATGGTCGGATGGTCGTTGGAAGAACGCAAGTTGCAAATGAGTAGGAAAGGTGTTACATGAGATGAAAGGCTGGGGCACCAAGCTCAGAAGGGGTTTATAGAAGGCTAATAAGAGGCAAATAAGGAATATCAAAAATTTGGTCTCCCCAAAAGGCTGATAACTTTAATTCTCATGTAAAGCCATGAGAAAAGTCCACTAAACTGTCTGTGGCTTGAAATTATAGAGTGTGAAATAATTGTTCTTTCCCTACTAATATTTAGTTTTATAATAAAATTTATATTACAAATGAATGAAAAATTACCTTCTTCGGAACGAGGGTGTTGTAGCAGTGGCCGACTACTGTAAAATACTCAGTATTATAAGACATCCTATATTCGTGGAAATACAGAGAATGATCAATCCTCATCGCAATTAAAGTGGATTTGTCATTCTAATGAGTCGAAGCACAGATAACGGCAGTCTAATACTAACTTCCGTCGTGGAATTAATATATAACACTAGTTTACAGCCAATTTACGACTGTAATGTCAAAGGCAGTTCTTTGTTAATTTTTGGTCCCTAAATGCGAAAATGGTAATAGAACTGTCCTAACACGTGAAATTTTTGAGTAATGATTTTTTAGTAATGATTTTTTTCACAAAAATGTAATGAACACGACATTGCTTTTTCTCTAAATTGAAGAAATTGTTTAAAATCCGGCAACACAGTGGCTCTGCCCAGTATTCGAATCTGCTTTCGCTTTATGTGAGACTTGTAACGCTGCTTTTCTTACTTCCGATACTGGAAGTTTTCAGAAAATAACAGAAATACGGAACCGCTATAAAAGTAGCAGGTTGAAAATCGGATTATCAATATGGGTTCAACGCGAGTAGTGGTGAGTTAGTATTAGAGAAGCGAGATGAGCAAACACGCGAATATTAAGAATATTATATTAGTTTTATCTATGTGAATAAAATAAGTCGACTCCTGTAAACGCAGTATAACATATTTGAACTCGACGTACGCAACAGTACAAAAATGTCAAAAGTAAAGAAATGTGGCTGCGTTAATCCCGCAGATAGTTTCGGCTAAATATGTGGTCAGTTTACTCCCAAATCACAGAAATGGCCAATTGATCAAAAGACGGTCCTAATTTTCCAGAGAGTGAAAGAAGAACATCCTAGTTCGGGACCTCTACCAATGAAAATGCTGAACTATCAGGGTCTAGATTACAACAATGGAACTTACAAGCCCCTAAAACCAAAGTTACCATATTTAGTAACCATAAGATAT